TCCTTTATCTTACTGATTATATTTTTTTATGCTTATATGTGTTGTACCATGTTAGGTACATTCTTAGTGAACTCCTTACCTGCTTTGGTATTATTCGACTCAAGGGTGAGTCAATCGTTTTTCTCTTAGACATTTATTAGGGAGTTCGATTTGCCAGAAGGAGAGCTAGAGTGTCCGTTGCGATTCTCTATTGCCAACGAACATGGGATTTCCTTTTCTTCAGTCTATTGGGGTTTCATGTTGGAGATCTTCGGGGTATATTTTTTGATAGACTTGATTCTGATTCCCATGGGGGATGTGTGTGTGATCGTGGGTATGGACTTGCTTAGTCGCTTCGGTGCCATGATCGACTGTGAGGGTCAGCGAGTGGTAGTTCGAACCCCAAGTGGGGGAGAACTGGTTGTCTACAGAGAGGGAACTAGGTTAGGTTCAAGCTTTTGCTCAGTTGCGAGGGCTCGACGGTATATTCAGCACAAGAGTGCGAGTTATCTAGCATACGTGGTAGACACGTGAGTTAGGGATCAAACTTCGTTTTTAGAGGTTCCAATAGTCAGGAATTTTGCTGACGTGTTTCCGGAGGAGTTACCCAGAGTGCCTCCGGAGAGGCAGGTCGAGTTTAAGATTGACCTAGTGCCAGGTGCGACCCTTATCGCCAAGGCATCATACTGGTTGGCACCACCAGAGATGCAAAATCTCTCATCACAGTTGCAGAAACTACTGGGCAAGCAGTTCATTCGTCCGTACAGTTCCCCGTAGGGAGTGCTGATTCTCTTCTTCAGGAAGAATGATAGTTTGTACCAAATGTGCATCGACTACTGGGAGTTGAATAAGTTGATGGTGAAGAACCGTTATCCACTCCCGAGGATAGATGATCTTTTCGATCAGTTTCAGGGGGCATCTTGGTTCTCCAAGATAGACTTAGGGTACAGGTATCATCAGGTTAGGGTTAGGGAGGACGACATGGAGAAGACCACATTCCGGACTTGTTATGGACATTACCAGTTCGTAGTGATGCCGATTGGGATCACCAACGTGGAATGATATTTATAGACCTAATGAAACAGGTCTGAAAACTGATGCTCAATTGCTCAGTGATCGTGTTCATAGACGGTATCTTGGTGTACTCCAAGACCCGAGAGCAGCATGAGGAGCATCATAGGGAGCTATTGGGAGTTTTGAGGCTAGAAAGAATTTATGCCATGTTCTCGAAGTGTGAGTTTTGGTTACGAGAGTTTCAGTTCCTCAAACATCTCATTAACCAGGAGGGGATTTTGGTCCATCCGGCCAAAATCGAGGCGGCTATGTAGTGGGCGGTTCCAAAATCTCCCTTAGATATCAGGAGGTTCTTTGGATTGGTAGGGTACTACAGTAGATTCATAGAGGATTTCTCCAAGATTATAGTACCCCTCACTCGTATGAAGAGGAAGGGGTTGATTTCCAGTGGGGCCCTGAGCAGTAGAGGGCATTTGAGACCCTCAGGCAGCGACTTTGCGAGGCTCCAGTCTTGACTCTCCGAGAGGGAGTTGAATATTTTGTAGTGTTTTGTGATGCATCCATCACAAGACTGGGAGCGGTCCTCATGCTGAGAGGACGGCTGATAGCCTATGCGTCATGACAGTTGAAGCCGCACGAGATGATATACCCTAATCATGATCTGGAGTTAGGAGCGGTGATATTTGCTCTCAAGATTTGGAGACATTATTGATGGGTTTTATACAAAAATCCTATGTGTCCATGCAACCCTAATTTGGATCTATGTTTTCATTATTAGACATACAACAAAATGAACACAAAGGAAAACCATAGCATGGATCTAAAATTTTGAGATACACAAACAAAAGATTAGAATACATACCTTTGTTCCTATGTAGTAATAACAACTAAATCTTGAAGTTCCTTTGCTCTTGAGAACAAGTACCACAAATGTAGTACCTCTAATGGCTCACAAACACACAAGAGTGAGAGGATGAATATGAGAGAGAGGAAAGAAGGTAGCTTGCTCTTGAAATCATCTCTTCTAGGGTTTCTCAAGGGTGGGACGAAATCTTAAACCTAGGGGGTCTATTTATTCTTGAGGCTTACTAGGGTTTTAGGGTGGAAACCCTAATCACTTAGCTTAGGGCCTAAGCAAGTCCATGGATCTCCTTGCCTTAGGCCTTGGATGAAAACTCCTAGATCCTTTTAGGATTTTTGGCCTAGCCCTAATAAGGGCGATCCAATTGCCCAAAGCCTCAACTATCAAATAATTGAAAAACAGCATTGTACTTTTAATCAGTTCCTTTAATCCCAAAATTAAATCCAAATTAATTTATGATTAAATACTAATTAATAATATGATTCGAAATTAATATATTATTCTTATAATATATTAATAAATCATATTTATGCCCTAATTGATTTTTCATAACAATAAATCAGCCTCTCTCCTTAACATTCATCCTGTTTAGTCATCAGTGTGAAGGCAACCCAAAAGGACCATGCTACTATCGGGTCAAGTACATCCCATTTATAGTTATGGGCTTAGACACCTAATCCAAAAATTATCTCTATGGGGTCCGCTATACCATATACATGGACCACAAGAGTTTGAGACACATCATAGATCAGCCAGACATGAACATGAGACAAAACAGGTGGCTAGATGTAGTCAAGGACTACGATTGTGAGATCCTTTGCCACCCAGGTAAAGCGAACGTGGTTGAGGATGCTTTGAGCTGCAATTCAGCCAGATCTTCTACTCCGGTAACATGTATGATGATATTAGTGGATTCCCTACTTGTGAGCTTGATCAGGGAAGCTTAGGCTGAGGGTATATGGTAGGAGAATTGAAAGCTTGATAAGATTAGGGGTGAGAACACCCGGTTTGTTCAAGATAGCCGAGGATTATTGGCCCGTTATGGTCAGGTTTGGCATCTGATGTCTGGTGGGGTCAGATAGATTGTTCTAAAGGAGGCTCATAAGTCTCGCTTATATATTCACCCGAGGGCCACCAAGATGTACTAGGATTTTCGATTGAGTTACTTGTGGACATGCATGAAGAGGGGGATTACATGGTATGCGGAGAGGTGCTTGACATGTCGGATGGTCAAGGATGAGCATCAAAGGCTGCTTGGTCAGATGCAGCCTCTGGAGATTCCCATGTGGAAATGGGAGTAGATCACGATGGATTTTATCACCCAGCTGCCAAGGACGGCGAAGGGATATGATGCTATATGGGTCATCGTGGATTGATTGACCAAGAGCGACCACTTCTTAGTGATATGGGAGAGTTCATCGGACGAGAAGCTGGCCAACTTGTATATCTGCGATATCGTTGCTCGCCGTGGGGTGCCAGTCTCTATTGTCTCAGATCATGATGTTCGGTTCACCTCCCGTTTCTGGCAGAAGTACCATGGGGAACTAGGCACGCGACTGCACTTCAGTACAACCTATCATCCGCAGACATATGACCAGAGTGAGCGGACCATACAGACTCTTGAGGATATGCTGAGAGCTTGCATTATTGACTTTGGTAGGAGGTGGGAGTCCTACCTACCCCTTGTAGAGTTCTCCTACAACAACAGCTTTCAATACGGTATTAGTGCCCCACCATGGATTATTTTGTCATTGGCTACCGATTATTGTGATTAGGCTCATGTTCATTATTACTAATCCTTAGAAAACAAATTAATTTAAACAGTGGCCAATTGATTCAGGTAAAGTAAGACTTGTAGTTGTAGCTAATTAAATGACTAATTTAATCAACATCCACTACAAGAAAAAGACCCTTTACGACGTGCAAACCACAACACTCATTGATTTATGTTATGCAAAATAGAGTGACATTAAAAAGTATCATCTCTTAAAAAAATTTTAAGGATTTGGGTCAGACAGTATTGCGTGCCCTTAAATTAATGTCATAAGAAAAAAAAATTAAAAACACGGAGGGCGCTGTATCTTAAATGCACGTCCTCTATAAGTGTCGCTTTATAAATTTAATGAATGCATGTTTAATAGATAGGGAGAAAATGAAATAACAAATTTTTTGAAAACCCACCTTGTTCTTTTCTCCTCTCTCCATCCTCTCTTGTCACCGATTTGCTTCTCTGCTACATGTTAATCTTCTCATCGTATCTCTGCTCGATCTCCTTCTTACCAGTATCATTGAACATCTCACTTGCCACCCCCGCCCTATCTATAACAAACCTCTCTCTCTCTCTCTCTCTATTTTTCTCTTTCTCTCTTCCATTACCGACCACAAATGGTTTTTCGAACACTAGTCATGGAAAACCTAGGACGATTCTCCAGATTTTAGCAATAAATATATGGACATCCATATATATATATATATATATATATATATATATATATATATATATATATATATATAATCAACATTCCCTCAATTTGAATTTGATGCAGGTAATACACGACCAACTACAAGTCTCTTTCCCCTCTCTCTCTCTCTCTACCCTACTATTCGACAACCACCTAGGCACCCAACACCCTTCATCTTCTCTCTGGTTCACCACCGCTACCAATAAAGCCCCATTATACCACCAGCACAACATACCACAAGATTAAAGAATGAAACATTAGGTTTGTGTTTTTGAATCTCATGTACAACATTTGCTGAGGTTATTTTTTCTTAGTCTGCTAATTTAATATTTTTTTTGGTTTTTTAGGGTTGCTCATGGTGTGATGATGATGCAAAGAATGGTGACATCGGTCCGCTGAGTCACCCCTCCGACTTCTTACACCTGGGTAAGACAATTATAGATTTAAGGTATTTTTGTTTTTTTGTTTTTAAGTGCTTCTTGATGCCTACGAACCTCAGCCCATCCCTTCACTTCTGTCTTTTGAAATCATATCTATTTTAGAACCTAATTTTAGATTTTTTAGGTCTTTAATCTTGATCCTTTTGGTTTTACAATCGTTCTTCTACCTCTTCTGCCCTACTTTGTCACTGTGTTGCTGCTTCAGCTTCATCCAATAATTTTTGAAATTAGGGTACCAAGAAAATGGTATTGCCTGGCTTTGTTTCTGGTGGTTCCATAGGTGGACCTCCCCTCATCCCCATGCCAACTTATCAGAACAGAGAACAACAACAACAGGGGACTTCTGAGATGTCAGTGATTCAAACTACTCTTCACCTTAAAGCATATCTAAATTATGGTTTATATATTCTTGCTTTTGTATATCTAAATTACTTAATTGGCCTGTGTCAGCTTTTGTTTTTGCCTCACTAGATTCTTGCTTATCTCCTTGAAGCATATCTAAATTATGGTTTGTATATAATTAGGTCATGAAGATGACATGGTGATAGAATTGGAAAATGTAGTGAGAAAAGTACATGGATACACAGGTTTAGGAATACAAAAAGAGAGCAACAACAACAATAGAAGCAAAAATAGATTAACCGGACCTTCTCATAAACCCAAGACACCTCATAAATTGCTTCATCTTCTTGAAGTAATTGCCATGAACACCTGAACTAAGATAAGAGGAGAGAAGACAAAAGACAGACAAATATAAACATAACTTCATTCACTTAACTCCTACTGAATCGGCTGGCCAATAACACGACGACAAATAAACCACCTCGTTTGCTTCTCGTTTATGACTAGCTAATATGGGTGTTCATGGAATAATAACACAAATGAAGTGATTTCTTTTAATAAGCACAATGTTAGACATGATGGATAGCATATTTTCAGTCTCTGCTTTGTGATTTTGCCTCACACTCTCACAGTATGAAAGTATAAATGAAGTTGTTTTTTTATTATTTTTTTCTGCCTCTAGAGAATTGTAATCGAGATTTAGAATGCAATCATGATTTGTATGAATGAAAAGTATGAACACAGGATGTAAATATTAATCAGATCTTATATTGATGAAGAAACTGATTACAATAAGTAGAGAGAAAAAGTGTTCATTCTCTACTTCTATCCTCAGTCCCTATTTATAGGCAACCTGAGTGTACAAAAAATATACTAAGTCATAAACTCAAAGCTTCACACAAATGAATACTTAATAAAATAACTAACATGTGAAAACAAAAGAAACAAACACTTCGACTTTTACAACTTATAGTCTCTACATTCTCCCCCTTTGTAAACAGTCGAAACTATTCAGTCTGTGAGATGCTGAATAACAGAGTTTATTGTTCTTCTGATTTCTGACTACCAAGTAATGATCTTTTTGAGCTCCTTCCTGTCTCCTTCATTGTTCTTCGAGCAATTAGTCATACGAACTATGAAATTCGTATATTGCGAAGTTGTATATCTTTCAATTTCTGAGAATTTGAACAAAAATTTCTTTAGCTTCCCTTTCGTGTCTTTCCCTGTGAAAACCATGCCAAAAGGTTTAAGGCATATCTCTCCATCTGAATATTTCTTCAATTCTGCTTGAGATAAATTAGACTTCCAAGGAACTTTCACTTGTTTTCCCCGAACAGATCAAGTTCTTCATCTGTTAATGCCAAGCAATCATAGTAGTTATCTATGAATTTCTTGATATGTGCGAAACCAAACTTGAACACGTTTGTATCATATCCGTTGAATTTATTCTCTTCCATTTCCTTCAAGATCAGAGCTACTTGAATAAGATCATTCATATTCATCAATGGGAAGTCAACTATTGTAAAATCAACAGACTTGTTATCTACTCGAACAACAAAGTATCTGAAATTTTGAAGCATGTTCTCGAACAGTTCATCCTTCTTGATAGTTAGCACCTTCTTTATTTTCATCAAAGACCACACCTCGTGTTGATCCTTCGCAAGTACTTCATGAAATCTTATTTTCATTGAAATGTATTCTTCAGCATTCTTGAATTTTTCACTAATCTTGTACTGCGTTGTTACGAACATCATCTCATTTATTGGAAAGTCCAGTTGGCATTTGTCTGAATTTGCAATATCGTAACTTCTTCTTGGCTTTTTCTCAAATTCATACAAATGGGTTACAACGACTTTAGATTCGATAGTTTCATATGAGTATAACTTCGCAGGATCACCCTTGTTCATTGTTGGTGGGTCATTTGCTCTTTGCCTCATGATACTCTGAACTTGCCTTAATTTCTCCATTTCAGCTTCAGTCTCAACTTTCTTTTCTTCTGTTGATTTTTCAATAAGTATCTCTTTGCCTTTTCCAGCAACCACTGCTTGTGGTTTCGCACTTGAGCTTCCTCCTTCAGTTGACCTAATAACTATTCCCTTGAGAATTGGTCTTGTTGTTACTGTTGTTTAAGAAATTGGTTTCGTGATTCTTGGCAAAGATGTTTTGAGTTGAGTAGAATAAACCTTCCCAAAAACCTTCGCATCTTCAACTTTACTCTCTTTTATTTCTCCCCCTTGCACCTCTGTGAAAGCAGGTGGGGAATTCTTCGGCAGTAGAGAAGTAAAGTTGGTAATCGGGGCCAACGCCTTTTGAATTGCTTGCTCCAGAGTATTAACTTTGAGAGTTAAAAATTCTGGAGCAAGAATCGTCTGTTGAGAAGTTTGCGAAACACAACTTTTTAATTCAATAGCCAAATGAGTTAATTTGGAAAATTGCTCCTTATTTTCTTGATGTTTGGCTTCTATCATCTGAGCTGACGATTGATAATTAGTTGCAAGCTTGGTTACTGCTTCGGCAATTATATCAACACGTTTTTGAACTTCTGAATTTTGCGAATGAAGGTCTTGAATTTCTTTCACAATTTCAGCTTTTAGCTCCTCGATCTTGAAGCTAACATCTTCCCTGACCTTTTAACATCTTGTAAAAAAAACATGCCGTTCTTTTGTAACACTTTTCAAATCATTGATAACAACATCAAAAGATATCCCTTGAGCTTGAATGCGAAGCTCATTATTTTTGTCAAAGTCATCAACTTTCGCACTTAAACGCTTCTCTGCAGCTTTAATCATCGATTCAACCTCCAAGCCAGAGAGAGATGACTTTGTACTAGCATCTTCTTGGGATTGAACAATGGCATTCAATTTGCGATTGAGTATTTTGAACTGCTTACCTGACATAAGCATATGGTTAGGTATTTCCTCCTCCTCTGAATCAAAATGGATCGCTTCAAACAGTCCTCCAAAACCTCCTCCTTCTGTTTCTTCATCAGACTGATATTGCAAAGGTATGGGTTGTGGTGTTTCAGGAGATTGAGATGGAAATAATGTAGTGAAGGGATGTTTTAAAGGATGATCAAAAATTGATGATGTGAGTGTATGAGTATTTGGTAAAGGAAATGGTGGTAATGAAGTAATTGGCTCTGTGATTTGTGTATTTTTGATAGGTGTCTCCGTATTAGATACGTTAACAACATTATCAAAACTAAGTTCTTCCTCTTGAATTGAAGTTTGTCTAACAACTTCAATTGGTGTGGATGTGGTGGTGGAAATATGTGAAATGATAGGAAGAGTAACAGTTACCGTTGTGGAAACAGGTGGAGTTTCGGGAACCACTTTGTCTGATGATTCATTTTGAATGACCAGCTTTCTTTTATTGTATAGCTTCTGTGTAACTGCTTCACAATGTCTGTAGCTCTTTTTCTTTTTGAGCCAGGAGATACAGGAGCTGGAACCTCTCGAAAAATAGCTCCTTTACTACTCACCTCAGTTTTGTGAACAGTTGGTGAAGTAGTTGGCGTTTGTGATAATTTGTGAAGCTTCTTTAATACCCCAAATTTTGTGGGTATAGTTTCCTTTGTCTTTTTAGGAGAAACCACCTCTTTCTCAGCCCCTTCACCCTTCGCCACTTTGGAAGATTTTGGTTTGGCTTTCTTTTGAGTTTGCTTCTTTTTCTTAGAAGACTCAGTAGTAACTTCTAGCAACACTCTAGTTTTCACAGTAGGATCAAATGTTTTCATGTACCGAACCAAAACTTTATGAGTAGGAGAAACCTTGCGAAGCATCGCATAAGGAATTCTTGCAACACTCGTGAAGATATTTTCATCATCTTCAACAGCCTTTGGAAATTGGTATAAGGAAAATTCTGCAACTTCTCCATCTTCAGGAACTTGAATTCCTTCTATTTCGTATACTTTCTTCAGAATTAAACTCCAGTATCTGGCACAAGAAATCCCCTTCTCAACACTTGTATTCTGAAGACTTTTGGTGAACTCCTTCCACAGTTGAGTTCCATAATCCACACTCAAATCATAATAAAGACCCATCACCATAGCATACACCTCCATCCTTCCCCTGTCTAAGCCAACGCTTCTCCCAGTCAAACACCTGAGAAATATGCCAAATAAGAAGTTCTAGATGCACGGTAGACTTGATTTTCTTAAATCACTGATCTTTTCAAGAGTGGGTTGATGACCCATCTCATTGAGCATAAAGATAATCTGTGAATTTGTTGGCTTGAAGAACGGTGGTTTATTTGGAATGTTCAAGAAGTTGATGAACATATTCTTTTTAAGACGAACTGTCTTGTTGTTCACCAGATTGAAGGTTATGACATCAGTAGTATAGTTGTATGGCGCAATTGATGTCGCTATTGACAACCACGACATTGGAACAGAGAAAGAGTTGAACATTGCAGTAGATAAAGGAGACCTTTTGAGAGCAACAACCAACATCTTCAGTTCTTATGGGTAAGATGAAACAGTAGCATCAACTTGATAGTTTGTGCTTTGGATCTTCATAAGGGATTGTGAAACAACTTATTTTGTGTTGGATTGAGTAACAACCATTGCTAGGGTTCAAAGAGAAGAAAGAATCAGAGAATTTGGGAATTTTTGTGTTTGATCGCGTAACCGTATAACACCTTATTTAACCCCCTTTTATACATAATCCCGATTGATTTGAATTGGAAGCGAGATGCATTTAATGATATCCGACATGGCACCTTGAAAATCAGACCATTACTGCGAAAAGTTAGCCATGTGTGAAAAAGCAGCTGTTACATCGCCTTGAAAACCGTGCAGAATACCATTCGTCACGTTTACACAGCCTATCAATATACTCGTTGTTGAATTGTAACCGTTAGAACCCTTCGCATGGAGGCAAGGCTCTTTCACTTTTGGGATGAAAAGCGAAGTCATATGCCAGACTTGCGAAATCATCAGTCTAAGTTGGAATTACTTAGAACCTCAAGGATTTCGTGAGTGCAGTGTTCTAAAGAAATAATATAAGAATCAAAATAATTTTTTTTGGATTATCGTGATGTCAAAAATGCAATTTGACACAAAAGCAATTAAACCCCAGGCAAAGGTTACTTCGTTAATCATCAAGAGAGATGATTAACAACTTGTGTATGTTCCCGTGAATTACAATCGGATACTTTTTGATAAGTATCAAAGGGCTTCTTTTTAAAATGGATTCTTTGGTTGGTTTAAAATTTCGTTACATGTCATCCTAAACATAAGGTGATTAATTGTAATAGAAATTACTTGTATGACCAGTGTAGTCAGTGACAAGTCAGCTTTGAAAATGTTTATCATGACTAGGACATTCAGATGAAACTCACACGGAAATCATATTCATAAAAAAAAAATTAAGG